TTTTTTTTTTTTTTTTTTCGTAGCGCGAGTAATCTTTTTTCATCGTTATCATTTATTTTAGATTCGAAAATGCAAGTTACATTTCAAATACGAAGCAAAAGTTATTAGATAAAACGGTGAAAATGTGTAAGATTATCTCTAAATATTCATTCGTTCACATCTTATATAATTTCTGTACTATCGCTCGAAATATTTTTCAATTCCAAAGTAATTCTTTCTATTCTATTCTGTTTTATTTAGAAAATTCTTATTTATTAAAATACGCTTTCAAAACGTTGCTGTTTTGATTAACCTTTTTGTATAATCCACCTTACATTGTATAATATTATTAATAACGTTCAAATTGGCAGAAATGAATGTTGAATTGAATGCAGCTGGGTAATCATTCTCCTTTAGGTAAATTTTTGCCACTCTTTGTCCCTTGCAATTACGACTGTGTTATCTGGGGGAAAACTAATTATAGACAGCAAATCTTTAGCCTGCGTGCAGGCGGACTTTTCTGTCGTACTTAACAGTTAGTTCGGCTGCACGCAGGCTACAAAAATCTTCAACATTTGTCAAATTAAATGATTTCAGTTGAATCTTTTCGCAACATGAAATTTCAAAAATTACAAGACAAAAGAATCTTTTTGAATGTAAATAGCTAAAAAGATCATGTTAAAATCAATTAAACGGTGATTTTTAAAGAAAGTAACTGCTAGCTTTCGAAGATATGAATTTTCAAACATCGAAAATTTGTTGAAAGTGTTTCTTGTCTTTACGAAGGTTTTCGTACAAAATTCACACTTTTCAAAAATCAATATCTTCACGAGTTTTGAACTTATTCCATTCAAACTTCATAGGTTTACTGGTTTTAACATGCTCTGTAGTTATTTTTCTGTCTACTAATTTTAAAAAAATACACGATAAAAGCTTATCTATTCTGATGAAATACATACAATTATGCCTGTTCTTGAAACATACTGTCAAAAGGCCTTTACTCACCTGTCTAATGAAATAGCACAAAGACCAAAACTAGTCGCAGTGAAGGACTGTAGAACCAATATATCAGCTGCCTTTGCAAAAGGTAGTTCACTGTACCAATAGTTCTCGTAGCATCTTACAGCTAACATAGGATGCACGACAAACCCAACGAAAAAATCAGCAAACGCTACGGAGACTAAGAAGTAGTTTGAAACAGTTCTCAACGAAGGAGTTCTGTAGATAGCTAGGATAACCACAAAGTTCCCAGTCGAAGCTAACAATCCGAATATTACGTGTAGAACAGTAAAGAGGACTTGAAAGTCTGGCATCAATTCTCCGTAGCATTTGGGATCGATTGGAATGGCATTCATGTTGTGAAAAATCTTGAGCTGGCGTTTCTCATCTAAATTCTGGTGATACAAAAGGATTCAGTGTTGCATTATTTGTGCTTACTTTAGTTTTAATTACATTATGAATACAAAATCAGTTAATTCCGGTGCAAAAAGCATTTTTTATAGCTTAATTTCGCTCTAAGAAAAGCGCTTAGATTACCAAGAATCCATGGCTCTTTGAATTTTTTTTTTTTTTTTTTTTCCTTTTTTTCCTTTTTTTCTTTTTTGTTGAACAGTCTTCCCTTTATATTTCAAGAAGGCTCTCTTTCTGTCTTGACATCTTTGCTTGAACTTGCTCCAAAGCGTCATTCAGATGTTTGATTAAACAAAGGAGCTCCAGCAGATATCATGTGATCAACGGAAGATAAGGACAACCAAATGTTAACAAAATATTTCTTTTTCGACATTGAATCCAGTGATCTAGGTGATCATGTTACTTGTTTTAGAAAAGGACCAAACAGGGTATGGTTTTCAGCGATTCTACTATGGAACAGGGTGTATAAAATCGCGCTCGCTCTGGGACAGGGTATGTGAAATCACGCTCTCTCCTCTCTGGAACAGGGTATCAATTTTTACAAAATATAAATTAGCTAAAATATCTCAGAATTTAAAACTCTGATCGCGGAAAATTGACTATACAAAATGTTTCTATAAGTTAATGTCCTGCGAAAAGAATAGAAATTTGTCTTTTAATCCTTGTAGTGCTTTTAAAAACAAATACTGTGTACAGTGTAGTTGTTCGTGAGACAAGATTTTGATTCCATTGGGATAACTGCTGCGACGGTGATTTGTTCGCTATTATCTGAGTCGGAGAAATGAAATCACTGGGGCTCCCTGCAATTTGGTTGACAGTGCGATTTAATTAAGAAACAGATGTTACGAGAAAATAAAACGCAATAACTCATACGAGTCCAACATACGAGCCCAATATCGGCTTAATTTTTGGCTCTTAAGCTGTAATTGACAAAAAGATTGGATGATATAAAGATCATCCATCCATCAATCATTCCTTCCTTCCATCCTTCCATGCATTCTCTTTCTTTCTGTCTGTCTTTCTGTCTGTCTTTCTTTCTTTCTTTCTTT